GATGGATGGTAGAACTGTTCCAAACTCAATTTTTCAAGAAGCCTGTCGACATAAACAACGTAGAAATATAACAACCACAAATTATCGTTCATGGAGTGAAAGACTGGAATCACTAGTGACGCACGTGCCCTTTCGGGCCCAGTTCCTCCTACTGTGAGCACCCTGAGGAATGGAACAAGCCATTTACCTCAGCGGGGTGGGGCGAACTAGCGTCCTTGCGCTTGCGCAGGATTGACGGCGTCCCAGGCGTTCGACGATGGAAGGCTTTAGGGGTTTGGGGTTCTAAGCAGTCGCTACGGTTCCTACAAGGTGCGAAACATTATTTGTTTTGGATTTCTCGCGGAACTCTAAATGGGAGACAGCTAATTCACCCTCTCCATGTCACAATGACGACTTGTCAGACGATGGGTAATAATATAATGAGAGCTGCTGCTCTTCTGATTTGTAGAACAGCCCTTTGAAGTTGAGATCGTTATTGCCATATCTCCTTGCCCGGCTTGGTGGAATTTATACTCAAACAGCCTGGCTGCACAGACTGCTTGCATCACTGTTTCCACGCATGCTGGCTAATTTAATGGGGAAAAAATTTTTTTAACGTACGTTTAAACCCAGGCCCTTCGCATTTAGCCATATCCTACCCATCCACACACACAACCGTTTTTTGAGACTTAGCTTCGCTAGATTACCTCGAATTTGGGATACTCCTGCCTCAGCCTCCCATAGTGCTGTGCCATCACGTCCAGCTTGATTTAATGTGTTTCCAACAAATGAGAGGGCGTCATGTGTTCAGGATATTTCTTTGACTGAAATACTGAAATAGATTACCATGGTTGCAGTCAGAAAAACACTTTCCTGCTGGAAGACCGATGATCTTACATCCAGAAAATAATTCTCTTTCCTTTTTTTTTACAAATCTCTTCTGAGAGCTGTGTGACTATTATAATTTTCAGTGTAATAATTACACATTTTAACATATCCACTTTGGCGGTTTTGTTTTTTGGTTTTGTTTTGGTTTGGTTTTTTTGTACTGGGGGTCGAACTCGGGACCTTGCACTTGCTAGGGCAGGCTGCAGAACCACTGAGCTAAATCCCCAGCCCTGACATAATTACTTTGTATTTTGGTAAATAGCTCAGTCATATTAATAAAAAAAAATTTAGCAAAAGAAACCTCCTGATGCTAGTTTGGAAACTGTAGAAACTAATGACTCCCAAAAGAGTTATGCAGATGGAATGATGGAGTTAACATCTTCCAGGAACTGAGAATTGTGCCTCTCCTAGAGCAAAATGAGTGTTAGGAAAACTTTTCAAGCTTTTTTGAAAAAAACTGAAATAATCATATGCTAAATAATCATGTGCCCACTGCCTACTTTCTACAATTAACATTTTCTTATATCTGCATTCACATGTGTCTATATACCTATTCTTCAATGTTTTGATACATTTCACTCCTGAACACCTCAGCATGTGTGAATAGCATCACAAAATAGGTTCTACAAAACAAATACTAGACAGATCAAGGTTTACTGTTTTAAAAGTAGACTTCAGGGATAGGGGTTATAGCTCAGTGGTAAAGTGCTTGCCTAGCATGCTCTAGGATACGGAGGTTCCACCCCCAGCATAACAACTAACAAAAAAAATCAGTTGGTTGGTAGATTGACAGAAAGGTCTCTACACTGAAAACTACAGTACTCTGAAGAGATAGGAGAGGCTATCAGGAAATGGAAAGATATCCCTTGTTCTTGGGTAGGAAGAACCAATATAGTGAAAATAGCCATACTCCTGAAATGGTTATACAGATTTAATGCAATCCCAATCAAAATTCCAACAGCATACCTCACAGAATTGGAAAAAAAAATCCTAAAATTCATTTGGAACCAGAAGAGACCTAGCATAGCAAAGGCAATTCTGGGCAACAGAGGCAAGGCAGGAGTTATCACAATCCCTGACCTGAAATTATATTACAAAGCTACTAAGATAGGGATGCTGATAAATTATAATGCAACATTCTTTGTTCTAGTCAAGAGATGGGTATAGGATATTGTAAAAATCCACAGTAAAAAAGTGCCAATTGTGGAGAATATTCTCTACTGTCATGATCTGTATGTGCTGTTAACAGAACTTCCTTCATTGGAAAAAAAAAAAGTTATTTTCCCCTTTGGATTCATTCGCATGATTTTGATACAATCTGAATAGTAATTACAACATGTAGATGAGTTCTTTAGTCTTTACCTTTTAAAATCAACCAGTTGACACAGACGGATGATTTACTAATTATTCCCAATAGCAATGCAAAAAAGATAAATTCCCTAAAAGGAGGGAAGAAGCAAGATGAGCAGGGATCTAGGTGGAATCACTACTTTTATAAAGTATGCAGCTGTTTTTGCAAAACAGGATTAAATGAAGATGAGGAAAAAATGGCAGTATTCCATTTTATGTTTATTGTTTGCACTTATATTTTTGCCTTTATAATATTTGCATTAATTTCTCTTATAAAACTTTTTAGTAAATTGTAAGAAATAGATTTCAATAATTTTTTTATACCAAAGCTGAATCATTTCAGGCAAGTCTGAAATCCCTGATAGCAACTCAAGGCAGCGATCCTGAGACCACCTGTGTCCTAGCTTGTTTACTTAGTGACACTGCATTCACTAAGAGAGTCTGTCAGGGAAACAACAAAGCCAAAGCCCGTTATTTTGCTAAAATATGTAAAATAGCATAAAAGAAATGAAGTACCCTGAACTAGCACCCTACCCCCCCAAGCTTATAAAAGAATCCCCTTAAACCGCCTATAAACCTTTCGAGGGTCCCCCACAAAGAATACTAACCATTTTCTGGACTTTATGGTCATCATTTATGTCTTTGTGGTTTTAACACCCAAGCATGAATCTGTAAAAGTTACGTTTAGATTTTCCTTTTTAAAAAACATATCTCTTTTTTCTTCAGTACTGAGGACTGAATTTTGGGCCTTCACACTGAGCTCCATTCCCAGCCCCCTTTTTTATTAAAAAATAAAAATAAAATCAGGAAAATAACATTTCATATGATATTGTGTTCTAATTAATAGGTCTCATTCAGATTTTGACAACTGTCCCAATAACGTCTTTTGTAAATAGGACAAAAAATCTCAAATAATGTGTTCTGGAACGATTCCTTTTTAGACTTAAAGGTATAAATATTGGATTATGCTCTTTCATGGTTGATAGTGTAGCCTACTGGTAAGAGCTCAGATTGCAGGTCCAAGTGGCTGGGCTTTTTTATTTTTCATTCTTTAGGTGTGGGACTTTCTTTTTGTTTTGTTTTGGTTTTTTGAGACAGGGTCTTTCTGTATAGCTCAGGCTGGCCTTGAACTCATTATGTAGCTTAGGCTGCCCTGAATTTGTGGAGCTCCTTCTGCCTCAGTCCCCCGAGTGCTGTGATTACATGTGTGTGCCACCACACCCGGCTGGGGTTTTAAAGCTGTATCAGTGAAAGCTGTTTGGGCAAATTACTTAACCACTTGGTGTTTCATTTTATCTTTAAAATTCTGATCATGCTTATGTATGTTTGTGGGGTTTTTTTGTACCGGGGATTGAACTCGGGCCCTCATACTTGCCAGGCAGGCGGCGGAACCACAGCCAAATCCCCGGCCCCATTATGTATTTTTAATGCTTGTTAAACATTCTTATGATTCTTACCTCCGAAAGAAAACAAGCAAACAAAGGCTTTCATGGACCCTATCCACATCCCCTTCCACGTACTCCTGGGGTCTCAGTTTTCTCACACCACTGCCTCATTTCAGTCCCACTTCAGCTGCCTTCAGCCTCACTGAAATGGATCTCTCTAATGTCCTCTTGATCTGCCTAACCTGATTTCTCAGCAGTGCCTGCTCCAGATGACAGCTTCCGTTTTGAAACTATGGTTTTCCTTACTCAGATGACAACAAACTCTCCTTTGTGTTCTCTTTACCTGCTTCACAATCTCTTTTGGGGTTCCCTCTTCCTCTACCCAACATTTAATTGTTGGATTTCCTTCACACTCAGCAAGTATGACCCTTTCTTATTCTACGAGGTCTCATCCTCCATCACTTCAGTTAGTATCTTTGGCAGTGTTTTTCAAACTGAGGTTCACCTCATCAACAGGTCATAAAGTCATTTCAGTGGGTCAAGACTAGCAGTTTTTAAAAAATGAAATAGGATAGAAAACATCGGTGTACCACGTGGTATAAGGTTAACAAGGAAACAACCCAAATTTCCATCAACAGATAAATAAATGGCTTTTTCCCTTCAGTGGAGTGGAATACTACACAGCCATACAAGGAACAAATTACTGATACAAGAAAACACAATAGATTGGGGGAAGGATCATGTAACTACTTAGACCTTTTATACCATATTTTAGGCATTTCTAGTCTCTTACAAATACTAAATTCTGTAACATGAAAACAGCCATAAACAACATGTAAACATGTGTTTCTGGGTTCAAATTAAGCTGTATTTATGGACACTGAATTTTGAATTCCATTTAATTTCTGGATGTCATGACATTTTTTCAGCCATTCAAAAGCATAGTCATTTTCGCTCTTTGGCCTCCACATAAACAGTAGTGGGCTCGATTTGGTCTATGGGCCATAGTTTTCTGCCCCCTGCCCTGGATGAACCTCAAAAACATTATAGTAGCGAAAGGAGCTAGACTATTGTGCTGTATTATACTTTTTAGTATGTATACTTATGGCTCCATTTGTATGGACTTCTGGAAAATGCATAATTTATAATGCCAGAAAGCTTGATGCTGATGTAGAGGGGAAACTGACCGAAGGTGCTAGCACATTTCTGAGAAGATAGAAATGCTCTGTATTTTATTTATTTATTTATTTATTTTGAGACAGGGTCTCACTCCGTAGTTGAGACTGACCTGGAACAAACTATGTAGCCCAAGCTGGTCTCAAACTCAAAGCGATCCCCCTGCCTCGGCCTCCCGAGTGCTGGGATTACGGGCGTGTGCCACCTCACCCAGTAATGCTCTGTATTTTAATTGTGGCAGGAGTTAACACAAGTATATACATCTGTCAAAACTTACTGAACTGCTCATGTCATACAGAGGCATTTTACTGTAGCTACATCGATAAAGTTGATTTTAAAAACCAGAGTGTATCGTATAAGAACAGTCATTATTTCTGACACTTGTGTTCCATGTAAATAAATACATAGAGGTGCAATGATGATGTTGAACTCATCCTCTTCCACCTCAAACCAGGGATTCCTCTCAAATATAAAAGGGCCGCACCATCATCTACCCAGTTGTTCAAGCCAGGATCTTGGCCTGTCCTCACT